TGCTTTCTGTCTCTGGATTTGCCTATTCTGGACATTTTGTATAAATGGAATCATGTAATAGGTGGCCTTTTGTTTCTGGCTTTTGTCATTTGGCATGTTTTTGAGGTTCATCCATGTTGTAGCATGTATCAGTGCTTCATTCCTTTTAATGGCTGAATAATATTCCATTGTGTGGAGGGACAGTGTTGATTATCCATCCATCGGTTGATGGCTGCTTGGGTTATTTCCACCTTTTGGCTGTTGTGATAATGTGTCTCGTTCCTTTTGGTTTGGTTTTCCTGGGAAGCTCTTCATAGCGGCCAGCTGTATGCATTTCTCTAGCTTGGCTACTTGGAAAGCAAGAGAAAGCAGGGCCGAACATGGCAGGGTGGCTGAGGAACTGGTGTAGTGGGAGATGCAGACAAGGGGAGTGTGTAGGTTTGGGAGAAACTCTGTGCCAGAGGGAGGGCTTAATCCTGGCCCCAGAGCCATCTGCTGTTACAGGGGATTTTTCCTGTTGTTGATTATTAACCTATGGTTACGATCCTGATGGTAGATCCCCTGGGCTAGAACTCGTGCTTATTTGAGATGCCAGAAATGTTTTCAAAGACACGTAAACAGCCCTGGACCCTTGCTTCTCTCTTTCCACTTGGAAACCTGATCACCATTTTATGAGTTATAATAATAATGGTCTACATTTGTATAGGACTTTATATTTTATTTCACAGCCGTTATGTTTAAATCCTCAGAACATTATCACCCCCATCTTTGCAGCGGAAGGAACTGGGACACAGAGAGGTGAGGTAACTTAACCAAGGTCACACAGTGGGGTAGCAAGTAGAGACAAACTTGAACCCAGGAATCTCTTGATTCTTAATATAGGTCCTTTTCATAGAAATGTGGGAGAGATGATAGCTGCAATGACTTCAGATGGTCTGGGGCAGAGACACTGGAGGCTGGAGGCAAGGACCCTGGAGGCCTGGGTGCTGTAAGTGGGGTCTTTGCCTGGAGGTCTGCCCAGTTCCCTGTGAACAGCCCCATCTGGGTGAATCATCCCCCGGCTTTCTCAGCTTCCTCTCCCGGCTCTTTGATCATTTCCTCCTGAGATTTACATTTGGCTGACGCCAGACAGGACCTCTCCAGGCCTCCCTGATCCCTCCCAGCTGGGGAAAGAATCCCAGAGTAGAGAACCTCAGTGCCAGGCAGCTCTGGGGCAGAGGGAAGCTGAGTGGGCTGCGCCTCCAGGACCCCAGAGGCGGAAGGCTCTTCTGACCTGTTCATTCACACCTGCTCTAACCACCTTTCTCTTTTAGCTGAGTGTGTAATCTCCCTGCTTCCCTCCTCTGCCTCTGTCACCATGCTCCTGGGTAGGTCTGGGACCCTGCGGCCTTAGAGCTGCCTGTGGGCTGGCTTGGCTCGAGAGGCAGTTTTCAACCTTAGTGCCATGACCCATGTCAGGATCACTGTGGGTTACAAGAAAGTCATTACAAATAAGAGGGAGGTTACCATTTCTGCTAATAATTTACCTTTTGCTTATAATAAATTAGAGCAGATTCAAGGTTATCTCTTGAGATAATCATGTCACTTTCACCACTCAGTAAGTGTGATGTGTTTGGCTGAGAAAGGGCTAGAATTGCACTGAGCACCACGTTCTTACTCTGTCTTATCTGAGCACCAGCTGGTGGCTAGGCTGGGCCTGGCTTTCCTTGGGAGGGTGGCTCACACGCAAATGTCATTGGTTGTGAGGTCTGGGGCAGGCCGAGCTTGAGCCCAGCTGACCATAGCAGGGGTGGTGAGGCTGAAGCACGGATTTCATCCTTTTGGGTTTTGGTCTTCTAATTACAAAGCCAAGGCTAGAACATGGGACTTGGGCAGTGTATTTGTTTCCTAGGGCTGCTCTAACCAAGTACTACAAACCAGGCAGCTTAAAACAACAGACATTTATTGTCTCAGTTCTGGAGGTGAGAAGTCCAAAATCAAGGTGTCATTATGGCCATGCTCCTCTTGAAGGCTCCAGGGAAGAATCTTCCTTGCCTCTTGTAACTTCTGATGGTGGCCTGCAATCCTTGGCCTTCCTTGGTGCTCCAGGTGCATGATTCCAACCTCTGCCCCTGTTGTCACATGGCATTCTCCCTGTGTGTCTGTGCCTTCAGGTGGCCACTTTCTCCTCTTATAAGGACATTAGTCATATTGAATTAAGGGGTCACCTTAATGACCATATCTTAACTTGGGTACATCTACGAAGACCCTATTTCCAAACGAGGTCACATTCACAGGTAGGTGAAGACTTCAAAATATCTTGGGACTTCCCTGGCGGTCCAGTTGTTAAGACTCTGTGCTTCCAACGCAGGGGGCGCGGGTTCGATCCCCGGTCAGGGAGCTAAGATCCCAAATGCCGCACAGCGCGGCCAAAAAAAAAGACTTCAAAATATCTTTAAGGCAGTTCATGATTCGATCCGTAACAGGCAGTCAGCTCTTAAATAAGTACCTTTGGCTCCTAGGAGGGAGGGCTGAAGTCCAGAGTAGGGTTTGGTGCCGTGTGGCCCATCCCCTCCTGTAAAGCCATTCCAAGCCACCTAGGCACCAAGGCAGGGTAGTTTCTGATTTGCGGCCATCGGCATGCATGTGCTTTGGGTTCTGATCTTTTTGAGGGCAGTGGTCATGCCTTCTGCCCAGCCTGGTGTCCCCTCTGGAGTCTTGGACAGGGCCCTGGAGCTAGCAGGAGGCCGGTAGCCACTCGTGCTCCTTCCTGCTCCAGCACCTTCCAGGCTCCAAGCATCCTTTGGGAAATCATTCTGGCAGATGCCCCGTGCTCCCATGTGATAGCCCTCACCAGCTCCTGGAGGCTGGTCCAGGGAGAACAGACTGGCTCAGGGGAGAGAGGCTTAGTCCACGAAGGGCTGGGTATGAGGGCCCTTTGCCTGCGACTCAGGGACCTTGGTAATAATCTCAGCTGCTCTGGTCCTGTGGGCGTGGACCTCTTCCACCTTATGGAAAGAACCGGACAGTGTGACTGTATATGAGGGTCCCCCGACCACTGATATGAAAAACCTGCTGGCATTGCCCTCCTCTAGGGTTTGTGTTCCCAGAGAGCCAAGGCAGCTACTGGTCAAGTTTGTCCACAAGCCATCTCCAGGGGAGTAAGCCAGAGGTCCTCAGCTAACCCCACACAGTCCTGTAGACTCTGGGTGGGGGCTTGCCTCCCCTCCCTTCCCTGCATGGTTTTCCCTTCCAGGCTCCCAGACCCACCGAGGAACTGCCCTGTCCGTCCTCACCTCAGGGGACCTGAGGGTGATGCTTCCTTCTCTGAGCATCTTTCCTCCCTTCCTTTTCCATCATCATGAGTCTCGGGCTGCAGGCCCGTTGAGGAGGAACAGTGCCTGCTTGGAAAGGGTAGAGTGGCTAGGGGAAGCAAGCTTGTTTCCCACCCAGCTCTGTTGGATCCACAGGCCGGCGAGGGCCAGAGCAGCCGGACGTTACCCACAATGGTAACATCCAAGGCCATAAATGCAAGGGGAGGCTGGTGGCTCTGACTGAGAAGTGGAAGGAGCTGCGTCCATTCCTTTGTGTGTGACCGCGTGTGTGCGCATGTCTTGAGTGTTGAGTCTCGGCCCTTTGGTTCTTGTGTTAGTTACAGTCTGGATCAGGAGGGAGGGGACCCCAGTCATCGGAGTGAGTCCAAGATCCAGGAATAAAGGAGGAGGAAGGTAGATGGAGGTGCAGAAAGGGGGATTGGCAGGGTTGAGGTTAGTGGGGTCATGTGGCTCCTCCACCAAGCCAGATGTTCACGCAGCCTCCTTACCTGGCTCCCTGGAGGACAGGTGACAGGGACAGGCAGGGGCTGTGCCAGGGTAGCTGGGCCTGCCTGGGCTGAGGGGAGCCAGGCTGGGGTGGTGTCTGAGCCCCAGGGCCAGGGTTTCCTCTGGAAAGACGGCTCCCTCTGTAGGGAACATGGCTTCTCTCACGAAGGGGGCTTGGGGTTGGAGCTGTCACCCCCGTTGGCAGGACATGGGCTGGAACAAAGTACAGAAGCATTCTCTCCAGGTGGCAGTGGGGGTCCTTTGGTCGTTTAAGTGGGACCAGGTTGGGGGCTGACTCTTGGCTCCTTCAGGGTGGGGCTCTGGAGAAGCAAACAGTTGCAAAATTGGGGGCTTTGTGGCTCAGCCTGGTCTTCTTAGGCTCTTAATTCTGTTATCCTTGCCTCTCCCTCCTGTCCCAGGATATAGCCAGGGCACGTCCTGGACACCAGAGTCCCTTGTCCGGAGACTCCCCCAGGTTCTGCCCAGCTGGCCCTGTGGGTAACCATCGCTCTGAAGGCTTTTCCGTGGCACACATTCTCCCTACTGGTTGGACTGTAAACTAGCACTCCCTGGTCACCAGCAAGGGCCAGATGGAAAGTGGGGAGTGCGTGAGAGCAGCGGACTTGTCGCAATTGTGTTGTCATGGTGACACAACTCTGTTTAGCTGCCTCTCCACGGTTCTAGCCCACATGGACTAAAATAAGTTTTACCTGCAGCATACACAGCAGGCAGCCCTGTCTTCCCAAAGTCTGACCAGGGCGTGTGTGTGTGTGTGTGTGTGTGTGTGTGTGTGTGTGTGTGTGTGTGTATGTGTTTAGGGACAAAGGGGTCTCCCCAGGGAGGATGAATTGAAAATGTTTACCCCTCTCCCCTTCTTTTCCTTCCCAGTCCTGTATCTCTTTAGACCTGTGGTTCTCAGACCTCAGCATCACAATCACCTGGAGAGATTGTTAAAACACAGATTCCTGGGCCCCATCACCCGGGAGTCTGGTGTGCACCTGAGAACATGCATTTCTAACAAGTTTCTGGGTGATGCTGTGGTGCAGGAACCACGCTGGGAGTAGCCCTGCCTAAGATTTTAGCACATCCTGGCAAAGAAATGCACTGGCTCTATTTTCTGCATGTGTTAGACTGTGTCCTTAAGCCCAGCTGCTGTTAGAGGAGAGGGGGGAGGGGCAGACAGGCCCCCACTCACCTCTTCTATGTTCTGTGGCCTAACAGGAAGCAGGAGCTGGCCAACAGCTCGGATGTGACCCTCCCAGACCGGCCGCTGTCCCCTCCTCTCACTGCGCCTCCCACCATGAAGGTAAGAGCCTTCCGGCTGGTAAGTGGGGAGGGGAAGTGTGCGGGGAAAGAGCTGTTGCTTTGGCCCCTGGCCCGGCTGCTTCTGTCCCCATGGGGGCCTTGGAATGTCTCCACACCTCTCAAGGCAGTATCCACTTGAGATTACCAGTGTAGGAGGAAAGTGTGATTGTGAGATTCGGGGGTGTCACGGGGCAGTGAGGAAATAGACTGGGGCTGAATGGGGTGGGCGGGATGCTTGGTGATTAGCGAGAGGCCTTGTGGAGCTGTAGGTTCCGGCACAAGGGGCCCAGGCGGGAGTAAGTGGGGACACTCAGAATGCAGCTGGGAGCCTTACGGGGCTACTGCCCAGAAGGGCTGCCTGGGGCTGGGGGTGGGGAAGGAGGGGTCCTGTGGGCTGGGACCCTCCTGGGACTTGAATGGCACTTGTGTGCTGCTCTACCTGCCTCTGACTGGCCTCCTGGGCTGGCCCTGTCACCCGAATCTCTGTGGGAGAGTTGCCTT